CCCAGTTTGGAGTGGTATCGAGCTCCAGTCTTATAGAAACAGTTCTACAATTAAGCAATAGAAAACATTTCCCCAGTTTGCATAGCCTGATATAATCGCGAGAAAGGCTTGGGAGAATTCGAGAAAGTTGCACAAACCTGGAAACGTCTATGTCAGGCTTTGCAAACATGGAAAAACGTGTTCAATATAATTGCTGTTATAAAATAACTTGTGTCTTTCTGACAGAAAGAAGCTTAACTCTTTGTTATCCCTTAAAAAGTAGATGGAATCCATCGAGGATCTTTTTTTTTGCATATCATTGCGTTTCTTCCTTTCATTTTTAGTCAGAAATCTGGCCTTTTCGTCTTCTGTTAGCCGTGAAGGCCATTTTTTTTTTTCAGTCCACTTGGGGCCTTAGCTAACTGATAAGCTAAATACATTGGCACTTAAATAAAGTCATTATCATCATTATTGTTATTAGATACGATTACTGTTAGTTCTAAAAGCCAAATAAAAATTGAAAAAGAAAAGAAAATATGAAAATTTTTGTTTTTTAAGAAACCCAAAAATGAACAACCGCTCAGAAATAGTTGTCCTTGTTTTTGCTATTCGCAGTTTTGCGTTTTCACAAGTTATTCGTAGGGTGTTAAACTAGCTAGCTATCACCGGCTAACGCACATAGACAGTATGGATGGGAATAAAGGAATTCAAATAGTACGTGATAAGTAATGGAAAGTGGCTTTAAAAATTACAATAACCATGATAAAGTCTGTTTTCATTTCAACAGTACTGATTCGTATATTAGCAGGCTAGCTGATACTTTTGTTTTTCAAGTATTTGAAAGCGAAAGAAAAATGATTATTAATTATATCATTCAATTATATTGGTATTTACTTAACTTTCTTTGTTTATTATTGTATTCCTATTTGTAACACCATGTATGGCCGAAATGGTAATACTGAATAAACATGTTGTTGTTCCTGTAATCAAAATTTGTGCCATTAAACTGGTTGTTAATTGCTGGTATTATTAAGATTTCTTTGTGAAAAGTTAACAGTTTTCATTTTTTACTCACAAAAATAGCAAACCCCCTCCCCCTTATCCCCCGGCTTCCCCAACAAGGTAACGACCTCTGAAAGCTTCTAAGTCCAACAGTAACGAGAGTGGACATGGTGGTAACCTTAGCAATGCTTATATAAACGAAACACTTAAAGCACGTGACACACCGGGACACCTTAGTTACGAGCTGTCCAGTGCCTTTTGCCTGTTCACAGCCATATCGCCCAAATTAGGGCGAAATTACTTATTGGATGATATGGCTGTGCGCATGTGTAAAGTACTGGCAGAAAGTGATCATGCTTGCATGGACTCTTTATTTCCCACAAGGCAAAGGATCAATGGGCAATTAGTGTATAGTGCCAATAAATTACTGGGTAGGGAGGTTCAAACAAGGTATACTCGGGTGGCAACCTCGTCACGTCTGGAGTTGTAAAAAAAAAGAATCTACACGTCGATCGAATGGGAATATTTCAGTAGTCTTGTTTTCAGGCGAGGTTCTATTGTTTCATTGTTTTCCTAACCGATCCTGTGAAGGCTTCTGAGAGCTGCAAGGTCGCCCAAATTTTTGGGTTAATGATTTGCACTTTTTCCTTTTTTTGGGGGAGGGGGGGGGCGGGGTTGGAATGGGTTAGCCTGCGAAAACATCCGTTCCTCCTCGCTCTTCGCCGCTGGGGACGTTTCGCGCGGAGGAACGTCTGCGACTCAGCAGCAGAAATTCCATACTGATGACGCAAATCAATGTTTACATAATAAATCCGGTAGTCATAGGGTTCCAAATATAAATTTGTCCAGATTTATGTCTCTTCTGGTCGATTGTGGTAAAGTGTTGTGTTCATCTGCAAAAGAGTTCCAGCAAAACTCAAATACTTCTTCTAGAGAAGACTATATTCCTCAAATATTGACTGTTTTGTCAGAGATTCTTCACATTTACATTTGACCTCTGTGGCCTTTTGTCTTTTGTCTCTCAAGACTGTCATTCGTAAACAATAGCTAAAACAATGTAACTACTCCGTCGACCAATCAGCGCTTCTGACCGGATTCCGGACAAATTTTACGTCATCAGTATGGAGTTTCTGTCGCTGAGTCGCAAACGTTCCTCCTCGCGAAACGTCCCCAGCGGCGAAGAGCGAGGAGAAACGGATGTTTTCGCAGGCTAGGAATGGGTATGGATCTGTAAAAAAGAAGATCTAGCAACTATTATTGTCACGCTAAAAAAAGAATCCATTTTTAGATTTTCCAGCTGATTCGAGATCAAGAATCTAATTTTGGATTACCCCAGAGAGACGTAACCTCATGACACAAAAGGCATCAAAAGAAAAGTCACAACATAACGACAACTTTTATTTACATTGCAGGGATTTTGATCCCGAAAAAATAATCTCCGTTTCCTGATTTACAAAAATAAATATTCAATTATTTACAGTCATTTTTAACGTTGAAGTATGTCAGCAACATTGAAACGCATTCTCAGGAAAGTGTTTTTCAAGATTTCCAAGCGAAACAAATCTCCTTTTGCCCCTAATGAATCAAAAAACAACCTACTAGATTAACTTTTGTTAAATCAAGTTTGTAATCGAACAAAAAATCATTTAATATTACATGTAATATCACGGATGACAATTACTCCTTGATTTTTGATAAAAAATATGAAGA